GATTAAACATATTGCAGAGAGGTTGAATTTGTGGACTTCTGTGCACAAAATATGAATTGTGGTAAATCAAACGTGTTGACTTATTGGATTTAGAATGACTTCCTAATTAATATTTCTAATAAAGTTTATTGAAAGAGAGAGACGTCTATATTTAGTAGGGATGACAATCGATCGAGTCAAGTTGGCTTGATCATTAGACACATAAGCTTGGATTGGCTCTATGGATGAGCTAAGCTAGGCTTGATTCAACCTAGTCAACCTTATGGACCGAGTTATTTGATCATGAGTCCATGATTTGGCTTGTTTTTAAATAAATTAATGAAAGATTAAAAATATCATAAAACTTGGCTCACGAGCACAAAACAAGCTCGTTCGTGAGCCCTGGTCCATGAGTCAACTTGTCAAAAAAGGGTGTCCAACTCGATACATGATCGTTCCACGAGCCAAAACAATTCGCCTCATTGGCCTTGCACACAAATTAGCTTGTGAAAAAATAGTGTCTAACTTGATTCATGACTCATCTCAAAATGAACCTAAGCTAATAGGGTTGAGTTGGGATGAGACTATGTACGACTAGATCGATTTCTCACCCAGAAAATTTAACATAAAACAATAGGTATTGTTTAGAAGCCTAATTATTAGAATAATCCTCGTGGTACAAAGTTGTGTCCAAAGCCGTGTCCAAAATGGACACACGGCACCTCGGCATCGGCCGAGGCGCCTGTGGGCCCCGGCGTGGCAGGCGTCGTGTGTCCATTTTGGACACAGCTTTGTACCCGTAGCACAACCGTAATTATTAAACCCCTATTTGGTGATCCTTCTTTTGAAAATTAGTGGGGTGAACGTGCATTGCACGTCAATTGAATAATGTTAAAAATAAGTGTATGTAAGTTTGAAAGAAAATTATATAAACGTGAAAGATATCCATAAATTGATCGAAATTGACTTACTTCTTATCTCTTTTCTTTCATATCTCATGTTAATATATTATTCAATCTGTTTAAGCTTATAAACAACCAACCCAAGGGAAAGAGGATGCAATCTAATGGACCAAAAGACAGAACATAAAAACAATTTACAAATAAAAACACTAAAGTCAGATTCTGTAAAGCAGCATATGATAAAAGAAACAAAACAGATGGATCTACTTGGGTAAATCAAGATCGTTCATCTCATCTTCACCATTGCTTCCACCTTTATCTCCTTGATGCTTCACTATTTGAAGTTTATCATTCTACTTTTTCTTCCATTCCTTCATTCTTTCCTTCCAAGCAACAGTACCATACCTATACTCAATTAAATCTTTCTTAGGATCCATGAGGCGGGGTGGAACTGCCATATTAGTAGTTAAATTAACCTTCTATTCAATCCTAACAAATTAATTAGGGAACTGCTCTAGCAAATCTTAAAGAAATTACCAGTCATGTAGGAGTCAAAAAATGGTATAAGATGGATTCGCTTTTCCCGATCCATGAATGGTGGAATAATGAGAGCATGCTTGTCACTTGAGATAGTATCATCCTTCATCAAAATGCAAATTTTCATCAAAAAATTTAACATGGAAAGTAATGTTAACTTAACCTAGAATAAATATTACTGATGAGTCCTCCATCAAAATTTTCAACTCATAAAATAACAATAATACGTTCAAAACAAGACCTCTTGACCATAAGTAAGGAGAGGAATTTTAGAGTCAATGGCCATCGTTCTCTCATTGTCATTGTAATCAAAACATTGTAAGCATTGTAATCATAAGTAAAAAATCATATGACCCAAAGTCCCACCTTAAAAAAAATGAAAAAATTTAAAAATAATAATTTTTTTCCAAATGGGAAAAATCAAGATAATGACTAAAATTGAGAATCCTAATATTAAGGATTATCTTCCAACAAACAGAATTCAAATTTGACTTAAATTGATTGAGATATAACCAAAACAAAATTTATCAAAAAGGAAATAATGCATGAAAGAAGGAATTTGCCCAAAATTGGCCTTACATCAGGAGCAAAGCTGCTAAGTCTTGCTCATTGACATGTTTCCAATCAAATTTGACTAAAACTTCGCAAAAAAAAAAAAAAGGGCAACCCCAAAATTCTTCCAAAAATCGGGAAGTTGAGAAGAAAGGCATGGAAAATAAGAAATGAGAGCTGCAAGTTTTAGGGTCAAGGTGTAGAGGAAGTTTTAGTAGGGCGTTCTTAGCTTAATGAAATGGGGGAAAGGGGAAAAAATTGGAGCACGGCGTGGAGCTACCATGTATTCGCCCTGCGTGAAGACTGTGTGCAGCGCTCTAGCGTCATAGTGTTTGTAATTCTTATAATACTAACACTGCAATTACTTGAATCTGTAATTCTAATGAAATATTGGAATGATATCTTAAAAAAAATCATATCTTTTGAGTAGTCAAAAAATTGCTTAATCGTTTGTGCATTCGTGGACTTTGTAATCCAAATTTTTGTCCAATTTTTGGAGTTGAAAATGCTTCGTATATCCAATACTGGAACATAATTGAAGTATCAATTTGTTGAATGAAAAATTAAGAAATAAAAATAGAAATAGATAATTTTCGCACGAACAAATTCACCCTAATCATCCAGACTTGCAATTTATATATGAAGTTCCTCTAGAGATAGGCACTCTACATTTAATCAGCACTGTAATCTCCGCGCAGCGCGGAGACCACGTATCTTCGCACAGCGTGAAGTCTCGCGAAGACTTCTCTTCTCATCGATGCAATTCATATTCAAATTCGACTGAATTAAAATTTTCAAATTCAATTAATTCAATTTCGTCACTTGATTTAGACAAAATAGATAGAAAGAAAGTAATTGCGTAACTAATTAACCCAGAACAATAGTATGTGCAATTTAGCCTTCTTTTGCAAATTCAAACAAATTTTAGTTGTTTGGATTTTTGGAAAGAAGGGAAAGAAGATGAAGAGTAATGCAGGAGTGGTAGTAGTGCGAGACTAATAGGTTGAGTGGAAGAATGGACAAAGAGGACAAATGGGTACAGCCCTGCTTCCTTTCCAACGGGATTTTTCAACTAATGAAATGAGAGGAAAAAAATAAAAATGGTTATGCTTGATGTACACCCCGCATGGAGGGGCCCACTCCGAATAAAATCGAAGTGGTCACCCTCTATAGGAGGGGAGTGAACAGTTTGATGTACATTTCTTGATGTACAAGTGGGATAACACAAAATAGTAGAGGACGGTACATATTTGTGATACGTGTCCATGACTTCTTTTGCTCTTTTATATATATAGGAAATATTATTTTAAATAGTGATTTTTGAAAAATATGTCGTTAAAATATTAAAAAGAAAATTGAATTTACGTGTAGAATATCTTATTATTATGTGAATGAATGATTGAAAATGAACACGTAAAAAAGGAATTTTGAAAAAATAAGAGTCCGACATGGGCTACTATGTGCATGTCCATTCTAGCTAGATCTACAAAATGTAGGCAAAATTAAAATATTTACATGATGTACGGGCAAATAGAAAATACAGAATTGGTACGGACCAATTTTGGTGTTGCAAGTTTTAACGAATACTACTGTTTGACTAGTAAGATATCCGTAATACAATAATAAAGACCAAAATTAATGCCACCTTCAATACGCGGTTTAGGCCCACCTATGAGCATGTCCATCACAAGGTGCACTTGCACGTAAAGAAAAAATAAATAAATAAATGTAGTCGCACTTTGTAATTTAGAGTTTATTTGGGAAAGTTTAAAAAGTTATTAAAAATTTGAGATTAAAGTCAACAATTAATTTTAATTACATATTTTATAATAAAATTTTTATCAATTTTAATCATATATTTCATCAATTTTATTTCAACAAAATTTGCTAATTTTTCATCGAAAGTTTTGCCAAACAACCCTTTATATACATTTGTGTTTTTGAATTTACATATACAAAAAAATGTTCCTTAATATTAATTCTCCTATCCATTTGTAGAAAAAAGCTAGTGGCTAACTCTATATACCTCGTCAGCCTACAGATTATGTAGTAGTTTGAGCCCCATTTTTTTTTTTTTCTCAAAAATGCATTTTGAAATAGTGATTTAATAGAAAATATGTGATCAAAAATAAGAACAAGTTTTTTATTTATATGTAATCTAATTTTATTGAAAAATGTTCGATTGAAAATAAGAGGGGAAAAAATATATTTTGAAAAAAAAAATGATAACCAAACAAGGGTTAGATCCTTTCCCATTTAATCGTACATAATAATAACTTGACGACTCAAAATTCATACAAATTGTAATTAATACGAGAAGATAGACAGCTATTCCAGTTATGATTCCTTTTATATCTCGTCGTGAGTTTCAAAACATGTATAATTAGTTGATAAATAATGGCATAACTAGATAGGACAATCAAGTTAAATTGAGATATAGAGACTTTGACGATTATAATAAATGAAATATTGTATTTAATATCGGAATAATAAAAGCTTGTCAAACAAGAATTAAAGCATCTCCAATGAGAATGTAAACTGGTATTTTTACAATTACTTTTACGTCGTCATCATTTACATCTCGATGGATCAAAAATCAAATTTTGTTATACTAAGAAAATATTAATACAATTTTTACCTCTTGGGAATGTAGAAAAAAACTATTTTTTTTATTCATTTTCCGTAAAAAAAAATGTAATTTGCTTCTCCTTTACATTCTCTATTATAGAAGTCTTGATGACTTTGGAAATCTAAAACTCCATTTTGCACTACCACAAAAGATGCTCTTTGGTGTGTGGTCACAAAGAATAATGCCCATAGTCCTTTCATCTGACCTATATATATTTCCTTGCTGTAAGCATGACGTCAGTCCAACGTAGTATGAACAAATGTGTAAACCCATAAAAATATAAATATAAAATATAGAGAGAGAAAGAGAAAGAGAGAGAGAAATGAGTTTACGCGTAGAGAGATTAGTCTGGAAGAAAATGTTGTAAATTGCTTTATTTTCCTTTCATTTTCCGAAATATGAACGCTCTCTTTTGACACCTAAGCTGTGAAATCATTCTATTTCATTGACGACCTGATAATTCACACTAAAATATATAAAATCTTGTCAAGTTTCTCACTCAACCTTTCTTTTTCTTTTCTCATTCGATCGATCTTCCTATCTTTCTATCCACCTTCGTCAATTCAGAGAATCGATATTTATAAATTTCTCATGGAGGGCCAGCACCACCCTTACACAAGTGTAAATATAGATACAGGCGGCGGAGGTGGGGGTGGAGCCGATAGGTTTCCTCAATGGAGTATTCAAGAAACCAGGGATTTCTTGATGATTCGAGCCGACCTCGATCCGACGTTCATGGAGACCAAACGTAATAAGCTTCTATGGGAAGTCATCTCCACCAGAATGAGAGAAAAGGGTTATAATCGAAGCGCTGAGCAGTGCAAGTGCAAGTGGAAAAATCTCGTCACCCGATTCAAGGTTATTATTTTATATATATCCATTATCGTTTGATCGATAGTCCTCGAGCGTGTTTCAGAAATAAGCTAAAATACGTGTAATTTTCAGGGATGTGAAACGATGGAGGCAGAAAGTATGCGTCAACAGTTTCCGTTTTACAATGAACTCCAAGCAATATTTGGCGCAAGAATGCAAAGAATGCTGTGGATTGAGGCTGAAGGCGGTGGAGCAAGCAGTTCGAAGAAAAAAGCCGCAGCCACTGCGCAGCTATCTTCAGATGAGGATGAAGATAACGAAGAAAGCGATGGAGATCAGAAGGGTGGCATCAAGAAGAAAAGGAAGATTAAAAACAATACAAATCCCAGTAATTCGAGCAATTTGATAACGAGTATACGGGAGATTATGGATGAATTCATGAAGCAACAGATGCAAATGGAGATGCAGTGGCTGAAAGCATTTGAAGCAAGAGAAGAAGAGAGAAGAATAAAAGAAATGGAATGGAGACGAACAATGGAGGCTTTAGAAAATGAGAGGATAATGATGGAGAGAAGATGGAGAGAAAGGGAAGAACAGAGGAGACTTAGAGAAGAAGCAAGAGCAGAAAAAAGGGATGCCCTTATTACAGCTTTATTAAATAAGCTTAGAAGAGAAGACATGTAGCATTCTGCTGCTCATATTTCTATGTTTTTACTAGCTTGAGAGGTTTGTCTTCAAACTCTTATTTTAGATTAATTTAATGCTTTATTTTTGCTGTGAGATGGATTGCTTATCTCTCGACTTTGAAACTTATTCGATCTTTATTCACGTTATGTATTAGAATTAGGTCTTTAATCAGCGGTAACAGTAACTAGAATTGCAGTACTATAGTAACTCCTTTGGCGAGGAGAATGAAATGGTGCTAGCTAGATAATTTGAAGTAAGAAAAAAGTTAAATTCGAATCGCATTTTCTACCAAACATGCACTAGATGGTTCGAATTCATGTTTTGTATATAGAAGAAGTTAGACAATGTGGATTGGTTTGTAATAAAATGGAAAAGGCTACCCAAAGAACACATACTCCAAACGAAAAAGGGAAAGAAAAAGTTTTATTAATTTCATGATGCTCCTATATAGTTATTGGCCTAGTGCAGTTTGTATATATAATTATATGTCATGATTAGCTAGCTTAATGCTTCATGATTTTGGAGAAGAGATGAGAAATTAAGAATTCTAGTGGTGTGATGCATGCAAGTCAAATGAGAGAATTGAGAATATTTTAGATTTTGAATATATAAGAAATGGATCATGCAAGAAAATCTACATTCAAAATAATTGGATAATTGTTTTGAGATCATGTTTTTTGAAGAGGAAAATTTTCACATTTACGATTTTTTTTTTTATATTCGAGACACTGATCTTGGAAAGACTGAATCCCTTGATTGTTTTCTCCTCTAGCTTTGATTTTCTATAGAGTGATCACTAAACTAGATGGGCAGGTTACCTAGCTATTTATTTTTCAATTATTTACCTTTCATCATTAGTGTATATGAGTTTATTCCTCCAAAGCATAAGATTATTATTACATAACTTTATTAATATCAAATGCAGCAATATTCACATAATAATGTATGTGTTAGATAATTAATTATTAATATGTAAGCGCGATTTTGGACTTATTTGTGTTTATAGTCAGGTTATATTGATGCACATATAAGTGATTGGAGATTGATTTATATGAACTTCAATTTTTCCAGTGATATACAAGGTGATCTTTTCCATTGTGATATATCTTGATATATTTTTCTATTTGCTCAAGAATAGTAATGAATTATTCATAATCATATTATTAGTCTTAGAAGGTTGATTATACATTTGCTCCAATTTGGTTTTGCGAAAAATCTAATTTTTTTAGTAAATTTTGATAAAAAAAAATGATTAAATGACTAATTGAAAAATTGATAAAAAAAAATTGTGGGTCTCATAAAATATATTGTTAAAATTAATTGCTAGACTTTGACTTAGATTTTGTATTAATTTTTTAGCTAAATGATTTTTATTTATTAGTGTATTCAACATGCAAGTGTTTCTTATTATAATTTTTTATTTATTAGTGTGTTCAACATGCTAACTTCTATCATTTTGTCATTTGAGTAGTGTGAGAAGCTTAGGGTTTGTAAATGATTTTAGGAAGAGTGTTCATAATAACGGACACATTCGATATGACTTTTTAAAGGTCAAAAGCTCTTCCTGATATTAAGAAATTGTTTTCAAACATATTTAAATGATTTTGTGGAAGTGCTTCGCTAGATTAGAAAAGCTTTAAGAAGAAGTTGGACTATTCTACATGTTAAAATTGTAAAAGATGGAAACATTTATTTCTCATGAACTTAGGGTTTGAAATAGAGAGAGTGAGAAGTTGTTTCAAATTAATCCATTGCAAAGATTTTGCAATGAAATTTAGACCTTACTAAATTCTTTAAAAAGTGTGTAGTTTCTTATGATCTGCACCAAATTTTGACTTACCAATTTTCGTCAAAAATGTATGTACGTAGTTCCTTATGATCTACGATAAAATTTAGCACAGGCGAATTCTGTGGAAGATTATCAATATTTGACAATCTGAAATCAAAGTATTAGTATAATTTTGTATGATAACAGTAATTTTCATCACAGAATGGAAAATCAATGTTTTCATCTCTTAGTTTAACTTTTTTTCAGTAGATTTTATGAATTCTGGTATGTCTTTAGATTTCCCTTTGTACTCCAAACACTCAAGTGTGTAATAATTTGCTATGGTGTGTGTGTGTATATATATATTTCGATCAATAGTTTAAGAAAATTTAATTTATTGTTACAATATTCTATTCGACCATGTTGTTTTTCTTTGTAAGCCACCGTTGAATATGTTGAACAGCATTGACATATTTATTGCCCATGTTAGAATTCGTGGGAAAGGGCTATGTAATTTTTTTTCTTGTATAACAATTTTTTTTTTTTTTTAATTTTTGCGTATTGGTTATAATTAACTTAATTAGTTCTAAATTTACGTAAATTATGCTTTTTAAAAATGTTATAATAAGTTAAAATTTTTTTACTCAAGTAAATAATGTTTTTTTAATAATAAGGAATTGACTGCTTTTGAAAAGACTCAATTTTTAGGGTAAAAATTGATTTTAGTGCTAAACGTCTATTTTCTTTTCGACAGAATTTTCGGTTAGCATATGATTTTATATTTTTATTCATAAATTTTATTTGATAACTATTTTTTTTAAACTAACTATGTTTTTAATATTATTAACAAAATTATTCATCATCGTTATTTTTTAGTATTATTAATTACAGATGAAAAAACTTTTCATAAGGTAAAACGATGTAAATTTTAAAAATTTTGAACCATCAGTATCTATGAACGCGACTGCCTAACTTGTCTAATACTTGCCGGCTCTGTTTGAATTTGGTTAGGTATTTTGTTCAAATGTTTGAAGTTCGATAACATTATGTGTGACTTGTGAGGTGGTGGCAGGTAGAAAATGGTTGCCCAACACATGAAGCCAATAAGAAATAAACATGATATTGTGCAAAATAACTTAGTGTTTGATCTCCGATCATGTCTTCTAGCACTATCATCTGAATTTCGTTGTAGAAAGTGGGCTAATAAGTCGAACAAAATACTTGCATCGACTAGAGATATAAAGATGAGTACATTTGTCTAATCTGAATAGAGTCATCATTGTTAAGTCAAACTTAAGTTCGACACGGCTCCAATAAATTAACAAATGTCAAAAGGTATGTTGTATCGAATATGACTTCGAAACCCTACCCTACAAAATCATTTCAATTACGTCACTCTTCACGTATCTTTGATGTTGTATATTTGAAATCCCTTCCCTTGTCATTTTGTTTTTGAATGCTTGAACAATGGCCTAAAGGGTATCACCTAATACTTGATAGGTCCCAAAGGAAACCATTTTATCAAAAAAGAAAATATCCATTTTCCCACTACTGATGTTTATACTTGCTGATAATGACTAATTATGTATAAAATGTGAATTGAGTTACTCACTACACACAACTCTTTCAATTGGACCTACCATTAATAATATGAGAAAAAAATCATAATTACCATATTTTAAGAATTCATTTTTTAAAATATCAAACTTGTACAATTCTTTCAAAAATCAGGTCAAAAATCAGTATTATATTTCCTCAAAATTTTATATATATGAATCTATATAAGAAAACAATGTGACTTAAATTAAAAGTTATTAAAGAATAATTAAGAATACTCTCTCAGTTTATCACTTCCTTAAAAAAAAAAAAAAAAAAAAAAAAGTCAATCGATAATATTCATTCCCAACGTTCTCACATATCCTAAAACAAAAAACAGAAGCACAAACATTCTTGACATGATTTTTTTTAATATAGATCAAGAATTTGGTCACAATTTCTCCAGCATTATTTCTCCAGAATAAATGTTTCCTTTTGCTGCAATTTCTTCATTGTTCTTCTGTTTATTTGTGAAGCATAGAATTGAACAATTGTTTATAAACAATTATTTTTGATCACCAATATCAACCACCAAATTTTCCAATCAGAATTTCGAAAATATCTTTTCACAATTTGAAAGCTTCATTTTTAGTTTGTTATATGAGTGTGATAAATTATATTATGCGATTATAACTTATAAGATTGTGTAATGTATCGGTCACTCAACAACTCTATGACATTCTTTTGTCCCATATATTACGCTTAATACATTCTATATTTATCGTGTACAATTTAAGAATGTGAACTAAAACATTTATTCTTGAAAAATTGTGACTCGTTTTCAAAGGAGAATGCTTTGTTTAAGACACGAGAATGAAAATATTAAATCTGATTGCAAATCCATCAACTGACAAAGGAATTTTCTCTCTCTCAAGATGTTTTGTGATTTTTAAATGCAGTAATAATCCAAGATTAGTTTGATAATGTACATACTATATATCAACTAAATTTTCAATACAACTTGTAATGACCAAAATAATTATAATGAAATCTTAAAACCATGATTTCCACTATTTTCTCTAACCGTAATGTATGCATCAAACTTTTGTGTTTGCTAGTCGCATCAAATGCGGAATAGTCATTTAGCCAAGTAGGGGCGGACAAACTGTCTAGACCAAACCAAATCAAATTAGAACCGAACCAAATCGAGCGGTTCAATTTGGTTCGAAAGAAAAAATTATTGGTTTTGATTCTTTGAACCGAGAACTATTTGAATTAGGTTCGGTCAGTTCTAGAATGGTTCTATTTCTAGAATTGAGAACCAAAACCAGAACCAAACTTAATTTTTAATTTTATTTTTTATATATATAATTACTAAAGACCTTAATTTTGTATTAATTGGAGACATCGTATTAATTGGAGATAGCCTATTAATCGATTCTAGGTCATTGAAGACTGCCCATTAATCGTGTACATCCTAATTTTATATTCATTTGAATCGTTTCTTTTTCACTCATTTTCAATTTACACAATGCCAGGGCACGTGGGCACTGCATTTCATCATGTAAATAGAGGAAACTCTTTCAAGATTGAAAAATAGAATTGATCAGTCACTTAAAAGCCTGTAAATTATTTTTTCACCTTAATTATTTGTGATCTTCACAAATAGAAAAAAATCCAATAAATATTCATGGAGTATTAAATGGTTAATAGTTTCCTGTACAAGTGGATTGTAAAAATTTTGCATAATTTATCCTTTTTTGTGGGGGGTGTGGCATGAAAATTGTTGCAATTAATTTAGT